TCAATAATATTCTTCCACAATAAAGAGCTCACGGCTCCCTCACAATGAGTATAAAAATATTCGTGGGGGTCGCCGGATCGGGACTATAGGAAAAGAAAGATAGGATGGTCCTCGGGAAATTACCATTAATTGCTACCACGTTATGGAAATAACATTTCTATTTTCACACGATAGGAATAAGGTCTGCATACACAATATTATTCGCACAATTCATTATGTGGGATTATGCTGGATATGTTGTTGTTATTATTGCTACCAAGTTGGTTGCTTGCTGTGTACTAAGTACTCTCTGTATTTCCTTTATTGCCGGCTATTTCGAAACAACTTCATCGGCACTCCTCTCTCTCGTAAACATCAAAGGGGTGGCAATCTGCCTTATCTTCTGCTTTTGTATTAATATATCCTCTCATTTTCAGTAACTAACTGCTATAGGGACAACGTGTGACATGTAAGTCACTCATGTAATCCAACTACCACCACGGACGGACTGACAAATTCTGAACTTCCCACGTATCTGTTATGCCCAACGGTCCCCTGTACTACAAGTAATTTATGCCCAACGGTCCCCTGTACTACAAGTAATTTATGCACACACCTTAGTGCAGGCCAAGTACTGTAGTGACAAATTCAACTAATAACTATGATTGCCTACCATTAGAAAAATGAGATTATATGTAAAGGAAGGGTTTGGGTGTCAAATATATTACAGTAACAATAACTACAAACGAGAAGAACGTTAACTCCTGAATGTATTGATTAATTACTAGAATTTGTGACTACTGCCCAGCTGAAGATGCAGTATGTGTTCTCGCTATCTACGAGAAAACAAAAATAAGAGAGTTCAATCATCAATGATAGAATAAAATCGCACGACAGAGAGAAATAGAACTGAAATTGTTCCTAAATTTCATAGCCTCTGAAAGATAAGTACAAAGGTCTCTGTACCGATCCTCCAGACTCTACTAAGCCTGCTCGTGACTCGTGAGACCTAGGCAACCTAGTGCTCTGATACCAACTTGTCATGACCCGGAATTCCCACCTTCGGGATCATGATGGCGCCTAACATTTCACTTGCTAGGCAAGCCAACGTTAGAGAAATTCTTAAGCGAGTTTTAAACAACTCAAATAATTAAACCAATTGAACTGAAATGAAACTAAAACGAAGTGCGAAGTGGCATAAAACCCAAAAATGTCTATAGAGTCACAAGTGCACGAACTTGTAGAAGTGCTACAAATAAAGTCTGAAATAAGTACAATTATCTTGAATGAAATGAACAGTAAATAAGGAAAGAGGAAGGGGACTTCAAGGTCTACGGACGCCAGCAGATCTACCTCGAGTCTCCAAATATGCCAATCCGAGCTGATGCACCTCACGTACAGCTGTGACCAGTACCCAAATCTGCACAAAAAATATAGAGTGTAGTATGAGTACAACCGACCCAATGTACTTCGTAAGTGTCGAGCCTAACCTCGACGAGGCAGTGACGAGGCTATGACAGGAGACTCACATAATTAAACCTGTACAAACGAAAATATACGTACAACATAACAACAATAAAGATTAAACATGTACTATTGGGAGGGGGCATGCGAAGAGGAACATGATACGATAGCTATAACAGAAATAACAACATAAAACCGTCAAGTAAATCACCAACAAATGGAAACGGATAACATAATGAATAAAGACTGCACGACATCACCCATCGTGATTTTACTCTCAACCTCACCATGGAACAACAATAATGGCATGGCATCACCCTTCATGATTTTACTCTCAATCTCCCCATAAAATGATAAATACGGAACGACATCACCCTTCGTGTTTTAACTCTTAATTTCATCATGAAACGATAAATACGGCACGACATCACCCTTCGTGCTTTAACTCTCTTCCTCACTATGTATTAATCAATAAATGAAACAATAATCGACACGGCATCACCCTTCGTGCTTTATCACTCTCCCTTATAATGTAATAATGAATACATAATATTTGGGGAGAGAGAATAAGCAAGAATAAACCTTACGTCAACAACGGTTCCACAATACCAAACCTCAACTTCCAAAAATACTCAATTATCACAAATAGTTCATAAATGCGGAAAGAACGATCAATTAAGTAATAAACTGGTCTAAGAATGGATACCATAAACAAAGAAGGATGTAAATTACAAGAAACAAGTTCCACCCGTATGCTTTAACCCATCAACAACGCATAAGTACTCGTCACATCACATATACATTGTACCCAAATATTTAAACACGTAGGAAATACATAAACAAGTCCTAATCCCTCAAATCAAAGATTAACCACGATACTTACCTCACTCCGCAGTCAATTCAAAGCTCTACGGGGCCTTTCCTCTAGAATCCGCCTCCAAACACCTCGTATCTAACCACAATCGACTCGATAACGTCAAATAATGCTAAAGGAATCAATAACAATACATAAAGATAGGATTTTTACCCTTTTTCCAAAAAGTAAAAAAAAAAAGTCAACCCTGGGCTTGCTTAGTCAAAACCCGAGGTTCAGACCAAAATCCATTTACCCATTTACCCCCGAGCCCGATTATATAATTAGTTTTGAAATCCGACCCCAAATTGAGGTCTAAATCCCAAATTTTGCAAAACCTCGCAATTCTTCCTAAATCCCTAATTTTCTACCGTGGAAGAACAAAGATTAAGGCTAGAAATTAATGGGTAATGTTAGAAATGGAAGAAAACGAGTTAAAGTGTACAAACCTATAAATTGGTGATGAGTTCCCCCTTCAAAATCGCCTCTAGGCCGAGCTCTAATGGAGAGTTTATGAAAAATGGGTGAAATCCCATTTTCGAAACATTTAAATCATTGGGCGTCAGGTCTTCTTCGCATTCGCGAAGGGCTTGACGCGATCGCGAAGCACAGCTTCCGGGAATGGCCTTCGAGTTTGCGAGAAATGCTCCGCATTCGCGATGATTCTTCCCCCTGACCATCGCGTTCGGGGCCCAGGGTCCGCGTTCGCGTAGCACTCCAGCCCAGTCTCCCCCAAGCCCTCAATGCTTCACATCCGCGGAAAAGCAGCCGCATTCGCGAAGGGCCTGACACGATCGCGAAGCACAGCGGCCAGAATGGCCTTCGTGTTCACGATGGTTCTTTCCCCCTGACCATCGCGTTCGCGGCCCAGGGTCCGCATTCGGGTAGCACTCCAGCCCAATCCCCCCAAGCCCTCAATGTTTCGCGTTCGCGAAGGGCAAGCCCCCCTCCACTTCGCGTTCCCGACGAGGTCCCCGCATTCGCGAAGAACAATCCCTTCCCCTATCCCAAACAACCCTTCGCGATCGCGGGACATTCTTCGCGGTCGCGAAGAAGAAGATAACAGAAACCAGCAGAAGCTAAAACCAACATTTTTCCTTAAGTTCAAAACACCTGTAGCATATCCGAAACTCACCCGAGCCCTCGGGGTTCCAAATCAAATATGCACACACGTCCAAAATTATTATAAGAGCTCGCTCGCGCGATCAAAATACCAAAATAACACCTAAAACTACGAATCGGACACCAAAACGAATATAATTTTCAATAAAACTTAAGAACTTTCATTTTAACAACCGGATGTCCGAATCACGTCAAATCACGTTCGTTTTGCACCAAATTTTGTAGACAAGTCATAAATATAGTAATGGACCTATACCAAGTTCCAGAACTAAAATCCGGACCCGATATCAACAAAGTCAAATTTCGGTCAAACTTATAAAGTCTTTAAACCTTTAAACTTCTAATTTTCGACAAAATACGATAACTCGAGTTAGGGACTTTCGAATTCGATTTCGGGCATACGCCCAAGTACCAAATCAGATCCGGGTCCGTTAGCTCAAAACGTTATCCGAAGTCAACTCAAATAAATTTTTAAGGCACGAATTCACATTTAAATCAAGTTTTCACACAAGAGCCTTTCGAAAAAGACACGGAATGCGCACGCAAATCGGAGAAGACGAAAAGGAGCTATTTAAGATTTCAAAATACAAAATTAAAGGTTAAAACTCTAGATGATCTATCGGATCATCACATTACCATTGTTGAAAATCCCTATACTCTTTCTCCTCCCTGTTTGCTCTTCTACACAGATTTTGCTTCATCTTTGTTGATTTACTTTAATTCCTTAGCTAATCTCTAAATTCTTTCCCCATCACAGTTTCCAATTTGCGTTTTCTAGTTATTTGCGCTTTGATTTTTGATTCTGCTCCGTCTTTAACTTACTCCTTCGCCATCGCAGAAAAATTGGATAACAACTGCTTATGTTGACGCCCATGAAGTATTCAAAAATATGCCGCATTGTTGACTTTACCCACGGATTCAGGAAATGCTGCAAATTTATTCACACTTGCATGTCTATAATCCTTTCAAAGTTAATCTTTACCAACTATGTCTTCTTTGCATATCTTTTCAGCATTTTAAATGTTAGACCCTTGAAGTTTCATAATTCAGTTGAGCGCATGATTTATTTTTCTTTTAGGTTGATAGATGGTAGTACAAACGAACAAAAGGCCGTGAACAGATTCAATTTGACCTTCTCCATCTGTATTTGAGGTGAGCCCCGAAGATCCTTAACTATTATGTTTTCTGCACAATTGATAACCAAGAGTATAAAGATTCTATTATGTTTTTTCCTCTCAAGAACATGCACTTGAACTAACTTGAAATCTGTAAGAAAATTTGCAGTAAGAAACTTCTAAAATTTTATAAGAAATTTAAACCTAAATCCATGTAGAATGTTTTATATCTAAGAGAATTTTTTTATTTTGAAGAGAACCAATAACATTTCCAAATGAATATTAAGGCTAGAATATCTGATATGTTAAGTAATATAGATAATCACAACACAACTTTATGTGGCATAAATGATTGCTTAATTGCTCTACTGTAAATTGGTCGTTATTTATCCCTAATCAGTAGCAATTTTCTTATGCCTTCTTAACTCAACTTGATAAAGATTTATCATTTATGTGTATATAATCTATTGATGGGTGAAGAAAATTAAGGAGGAAGAAAACTAACTACCCTACAATCCACACCCATGTAAATACCAAATTGAAAAAAAAAATGAAGATTAAGACTCACCAACAGTTGTAGCAGCGATGAAGAGATGAGCCAAGGTAGTTAAAATACTAAATCCACACCACAGAAATAGTGCTAGAAATAAAAGAGAAAAAGAAAAGTACAAAGCCAGAGAAGAAGATGCTCACAAAAATGCACATATGAGGCGACATAGGCGGAGTTAAGTGCAATCAGTCATTATTAACAGTTGGGAAAGATTTTTTTATTTAATAGTGATGACTGATGACCATTGAATTTATTTTTATGTCTATAAATATTGATTATAATTTACTAATATGGAGTTTAGACCGGTAATGTGCTTAGTTGTATGGTTCTCCCTTATAATTGAGTACTACCAATACAACACGACACAAATTGTTTAATTGCCACGAGGTTAGTGTATTCGTCTTCTCGAGTTATCCTTCAGGTGAGGCATTTTATTCCCTAATGACAATTGCGGTCATTTGAGATTATGAAAGTAGAGCTTTCACCAAATTATCATGGATGCTTACGGGAAACATAATATCTTCCTCCCTTGAATTTTAGTTGTTGACTATGAAATTTTGGTATACAAGGAAAGTCAGTAATGTTCACATTATCTTTGCATGTGTGTGGAGCTTAATTAAAGTTTGTCAATAATTTATATACAAATATTTATAAAGCTAAAAAATAAAATCTGATGTGGAACATTCCCCATGCTCACGGATGCACTATTTATCTCTTTTCTTCTTTTTTTGGAAATTTCCCCGTCTACAAGATTTTAAATAAACCCACAAGAAAAAACATATCACTTTTGAATTACAACTTTTTGTTTTTATTTTTATTCGATCTGGTGATTTATACACAGTTTACTTGCCTTGGTGCAGTTTATGCAGCAGAGCAGAGATGACATCTTCGTCAAGGTTGAATTTCTCTTTGGATCAGTTTGTGTTTTCCTTAACTCTTGGTATATTTTTGTTTCCACATTATTACCTCCACTTTATAGATGTAAAAAAGTAAATTGTCCTATCTAAGTTCTCAAATAAATTATAGTAGTAAATATTTGTCCTGAAATGCAAATTTGGTTCCTTACTTCTTTGACGAGAATCAAAATAAATATGTTTTCCCTACAATTATAGAGAATTTTAGTTTTGTGATTTGTCTTTAACGATTACAACTATTACATGCATTACCTTTAAAATTTGACTCGAATGACTGGGTTAATTTACTGGTTTATAAACATATTTAATCTTAATGTTTGACTGTAACGTTAAGCCCCATTGCAACTACTAAAACATTCATTTGTTTAATCAAAATTTCTTACTGTCAAATGTTCACATTGATTTCCTCTTTCCAGGTTTTACCAATCTTTACGATCAAGCTTTGCTTCTCTCAGTCAACAATGGTGAGCAACACTAATATCCCCATTTTGTGCTTTCTGATTTCAACTACTTGATGGTAGGCTTATAACCCTGTGTTTTAGTCGCTCATTGCACTTTAGTCGCTCATTGCATTCTAATTCACTGCACTTTACTTATGTTGAACTTTAATTAGTAGTGTTTTGCACTTATTATGTGTTTTATGTCGTGTAGGAGTGATTCCAAGTTATTTAGATGTTGTAGAGCTAATTCGAGCTATTTGGAGCATTGAAGTCTAAGTAGAAGCCCAAGTGATTAAATCGGGGTCGCGTTCGGGGGTCGAGGACGAAGTCCGAATGTCAAATATTGGAGAAACGAACTTACTCGAAGAAACTGCACAGCCGCGCTGCATGGGGCGGCACGACAATGCAATTTATGCCGAGATAGCACAAAAATATTAGAGTAACTTTCCATTTCCGCTAAAAAAAGATAATTTTGTCCGGGGTTTATTGAGGGATGGCTTAAATACACGGAAAAATACCATTTTCGGGGACTTTTGACAGATTTTCGACCTAAGGAGGCAAAGGAGGTTTGGGAAGAACACAAGCATAAGGATTTCATCATTCCTTCCTCACTCAAGATTCGGGTTTGGATTGAATTTATGTTTTTCTATACTTTAGTTATATTTGTGAAGAACTTCTCCATGTCTATGGAGTAGTTCCTTTTGGGTTTTGATGGATTTGGTGTATTGATGATTGTTTGTAGATTATAATTCTATTTTTATGTATTTGAATCATTTTTGGAAGATTTAATTATTGCATCTATATTCACTTGTTTTTGTAATTGAAAGAGGCATAACTTGTGATATCTTTGCATTATATTGTTGGTTGAGTTCATAGATTCTTCTAAGTAATTGAAAGAGGCTAGTTGAATTATTGATTAAACCTAGTTAGGAGAATAATCGAGAGAGGCTATCCTAAAGACCAATCCATTATGGATTCTTGCATATCTTCACAGAGATTAAATTGGTTCATATTGAGAAGTTGAGACTTAATCGAAAGAAAAGTTTTTGCTGAACATTTGAACTAATAATTGTGATGACCCAAAAGGTCATATTTAAATTTAATAATTAATTCTGTATTCTAAGACCTCAAAAAGCACTATTTATCATTTCTCGGCTTGCGTGTGCAGCCCGTATAATTTTCCGAGAAGTTTTTATATGAAAAATTGATTAAAATGTGAAATAGAGCCTTAAAACTCAACTGAGTTGACTTTGGTCAATATTTTGAACAAACGGACCCGGATCAATGTTTTGACAGTTTCGGTAGGTCCGTCTCGTGATTTGAGACTTGGGCGTATGCCCGAAATTTAATTTGGAACTCACTAGCTCAAGTTATGTCCATTTAATGGAAACTAGAAATTTAAAGGCTAAAGATTTCCAAGTTTGACCATGGAATTGACTTTTTGATATCGGGCCCGAAATTCAATTTTAGAGTTAGATCTCGAACAATTATCTTGCACTTATTCTGTCAAAACCCTATCCTCTCCCACCGATAACCTTAATTGCTTATTACTTATTTCGATAGTCACTAGTCAATAGCTGTAGATTTTAGATTCTTAGTCATATAAATCTCAACTGTTGATCCTCCTAGATAGCAATCTAGCTACAAACTACGAGAATACTGTTTAAATTCAATCCCTGTGGACACGATATTATACTATACTATCTTTGACTAGCGAGCACAATTTAAGTGTGTGTTTTGCGCTCATCAAATTTTGGCACCGTTGTCGGGGATTGGCACTCAATAGTGTTTGAAATAGTTTGTAGTGCTAATTCAGGAATTAGCTTTTAATTTTTATGTTTTTTTTTATTTTTAGTTTTGTTATGTTAACTTCTCTTCAAGATTTCTTTTGTTGAAGAAATCCTGAAGAGCATGTTCTTGTTATTGAACTCTAAATGATGTGAAGATGAAGTACAACCAGCCTAAGGAAACAGTTGAAGAGTTAGCAACGGAATATTATCAGCGGTGTGCTACGTGTTTTAAATGCGGTAAAAATTATCTTTGGGTTGATTGTCAAGCAGGGAGTGGAGACCCTATGTCTAAAATAAAATCAACTAGGTAGTGAAGGCCATATGTTGGAAAAGATAATAGGGAGAGGAGACCATATGTCTAAAAATAAAATCAACTAGGGAGTGGAGACCCTATGTTGGAAAAGTGACTTGGGAGTGGAGACCCTATCTCTAAAATAAAATCAACTAGGAAATGGAGACCCTTTGTTGGAAAAGCTACTAGGGAGTGGAGATCCTATGTCTAAAATAAAATTAAATATGGAGTGGAGACCCTATGTTAGAAAAGCGACTAGGGAGGGGAGACCCTATGTCTAAAATAAAATCAATCTAGCAAATTATTAACCAAACGATTCAAAATAAGCCTCCGAAACTACCCACGAATGAAAGAGGTTCAATTTAGGTTATTATTAAAAAAGGCAACAAAAGTCAACCCCGGACCCGCTTGGTCAAAATCTGAAATTCGGACCAAAACCCGATTACCCATTCACCCCTGAGTCCGGTTATGTAATTTGTTTCGAAATCCGACCTCAATTCGAGGTCTAAATTTTAATTTTGCAAAAATTTCTAATTCTACCCAAATCTCCAATTTCCACCATGAAAGATCCTAGGCTTAAATGATGAAAACTTATAAAATATAATGGGTAAATGAAAGAAAGTAGATTAAGGTCACTTACCAATGAATTAAGAAAGAAAGGCTCTTGGGAAAATCGCCTCTAAGGTTTTTAGGGTTGAGAATTTGAAAGAATGAGTAAAATCCCGTCTATCTTAGTTTTTACCCAGCTGCGGATGTCGCAATTGCGATATTTTGTTCGCAATTGCGATATTTTATTCGCAATTGCGAACATCGCAATTGCGCGAAAGAGGTCGCAAATGCGAACTCCTCTCAAAAACCCAGTCAATGCAAGTGCGATGTTTTTGGTCGCAAATGCAAACCCCCAGCTCTCACAAATGCGGACCACCTCTTCACAAATGCGAAGATTGCCAAGGACCGTGTTGAGTCACAAATGTGACTCCGCCTTCACAAAAGCGGAAATGGCAAGTTCGCAAATGCGGACTTTTACCTCGCAAATGCAAGGATCCTCAAGCCTGCCCATGCTCGCAAATGCGAGCTAGATCTCACAAATGCGAGACCTGCACCAGAACACCAGCAACAAAAGAGGCATCAACTATTCTACCAAGTCCGAAATCACTCTGTAGTCTATCTGAAACTCACCCGAGCCCTCGGGGCTCCAAACCAAGTATGCACACAAGTCCAAAATATCATACGAACTCGCTCGCGTGATCAAAAAACCAAAATAACACCTAAAACTACGAATCAGATACCAAAACAAATGAAATTTTCAATAAAACTTAAGAACTTCCATTTTAACAACCGGACGTCCGAATCACATCAAATCAACTTCGTTTTTCACCAAAATTTGTAGGCAAGTAGTAATTACAGTAATAAAGTCATACCAAGCTCTGAAATAGAGATCCGGACCCGGTAACAACTAAGTCAAACTTTGGTCAAATTTATAAATTCTTTAAACTTTTAAACTTTAAATTTTCAACAAATTGCGATAACTCGAGTTAGGGACCTCCGAATTCGAATCCGGACATACGCCCAAGTCCCAAAATCATGATACGAATCCACCAGGACCGTCAAAAAACGGATTCGGGTCTATTTTCTCAATAAGTTGACTGAAGTCATTTCAAATAAATTTTAAAGTACGAATTCATAAATTGATTTGACTTAAACTGTCGGATTTGAAAGCATGTCAATTCTTTGCTGGAATTACTAAAAATGAATTAGAAATTGTATAGCTCGTCACTATCTTCAGTTCCTTATTTATTATTGTTACTTACTGAGTTGGTTGTACTCATACTACACCCTGCGCTTCGTGTGTAGATCCAGGTGATCCCGGATACAGTGGGTGTTGATCCTTTCACACGGTCGATTTTTCGAAGATTCAGAGGTAGACGCTATGTTTCGCAGACCCTGTCTCTCCTTCCCTATCTTTTTGTGTATTTCATTTGGTCTCAGTTTATTATAGACCGTATTCTCCAGACTTGTAATATATAGATGCTCATGTACTCAGTGACACCAGGATTTGGGGAGTGGTTGTAACGGTATCCGTAAGGATTGCGGATTCTATTTAAAAGAAATTGTGGTTTATGAAGTTTTCGGCTTGCCTAATTTCGAGATAGGCGCCATCACAACAGGTTAGAATTTGGGTCGTGACACTGACAATATCAATAGCCACCCTTATCGCTCCTATAGCCACCCTTATCGCTCCTATAGCCGCCCTTATCGCTCCGCCCAGACAATATTCCAACAAACATATCAACAGTGAAATGCCACCTTTATTCCCACGTAATATCAACGGTGAAATGCCACCCTTATCTCCTCAAAATAATAACTCACACAACACAACAATTTATACGGGAAATTATCACGACAACATAACAAAATCAATTCATATCATAATTTGCCCAATGGCCACAACCAAAATTACAAAGATACAACAAAATCAATTACTTTCACAACAAATAGCCGAAGGCTCCACACAATGTGTATAACACCCCAAAAATAATCAACAGAGATAGAAATTACTCAGCATAAAGCAAAGCCTTCATTAATCCAAATTCTCAATAATTATATAAACACCTCTTCTTAAGCTCATTTAATTAATTATTTACAGAGGAAAAATCCATAATGAAATTAAATTCCAATAATTATCAAACCAACAAATTCACGGAGTTACAGCAATAATCAAGTAACAATCACATCAAATTGTTATATAACAACAAATTCAACAACAAGGATTTAGGCATGACAAATATATGATTAAATATATGCCAACAATTATTCAATTTACTACATAATATGCCTAAGACTTTATCTCAATGAATTTTGCACATATAAGCCCGAGTACGTACTCGTCACCTCGCGTACATGGCTTTTCACATTTCACAAATGGCACATAAGACTCGATGCTTAAGGGGTAATTCCCCCGCTCGAGGTTAGGCAAGACAGTTACCTCGACTTGCTCCAATTTAATCAAGTAGTATGCCTTTTCCTCAATTTTTTCAAATCCGATCGACTCGAATCTAGTCATAATTAATTTGATACAGTCAAAAAAAAATTAGAATCAATTCCATAAGCAAAATACTATGGGACCCACGTCTCAGAATCCGGCAAAAGTTACGAAATATGAACACCCATTTACTCACGAGTTCAACCATACTAAAATCATCAAATTCCGATAGCATTTCGTCCCTCAAATCGTGATTTTTCAATTTGAAAATTTTCTTCAAAAAGCACCATTTTCCTCAACTCAAAACACAAATTAAATGATAAAAATAAAGATAAAATCATGGAATATATTAAATACTAGGTAAGAACACTTACCCAATCGAATTGCTTGAAAAATCCACCAAGAATCGCTCAAAACCGAGCTCTACAAGTCAAAATATGGTGAAAATGGCCTAACCCTCGATTTGGAAAACTTATATTCTGCCCAGACGACTATGCATCGCGATCGCGGAGATTGGGTCGTGATCACGGAGAAGAGAATTGAGGCTGCCAAGAAAGACCCTTCGCGATCGCGAGTGAAGGGACGCGAACGCAATG